AGAGAGTATGATACTCGAACCAACGAAGATCGCAAGCTTATCAACACTGGCGAAAAGCGCGTGAAATCATTTGCGGTCTGTCAGGGGCGAACTGAAATGGTATCATAAAATCATAAAACGCGCTAATGTCCCAAACATTATCTTGTCTGCTTCAGGTAGCGGTAGCGACTGATGAAGCTCCAGTACCAATTTATGATAGGAGAAAACCGGATAAGCCGTTGCTCACTTGCGTGAATGGTTGGTTTTTTATTCAAAGCAAGAGTTTTTTCCTTTCATTTTACATTTAGCTGACGATAAATGCCATGGTAATTTTACTTACACCACTCATGTTTCATTCGATGAAATGGGAACAGAGTGCCTTGTAAGTTTTCTTTTTCGTATGTGATCGCGTTGCTCAGGCAAAATGATTTATCCAGTCTTTTCTCTCAGGTTAATCAGGGATGTGGCCCGATATATTTGTTCAAATTGAAATCGGATGATCGGCCCACAGTTTTACAGAAAATTAAACGAATAATCGAGAATAATGATGAAGGTCAGCTGCAACTCGTTTTATTTTCGTTTTCATTATTACAGTCACTATTTTGTTTATTCCCAATTCCCTTATGTGCAAAGTTTTACTAACGTACGGTACTTTTCCGTTATTCGGACTTATCTTTCAAAAATGTTCGCATGAAGTATGTGTTTTAGCCCAGAAATTTTTTTCCATAGATTTAATGAGAATTGATCCCCTGCCATGTGATAAGATGAAAATTAACATGTTTCTTGACTCATGGCAGCAGGTTGACATTCCATCCTGTGAAGTTTTGACTAGATTTGGTATAAGAAAATAAGCAATAAGCTACTTCAAAAAAGTGGGTCCGGATAGCGGGAAAGTGCATCAATGTTTCAACGTACTAATTGTAAGTATTTAGTCCCAGTAAATGGCAAACATACTCTCGCGTTTGCTGATGCTCGAGAACAAGCAAAAGAGCTCTTCAGCTCCAAGAAATTTCCTGAGGTTTGTACTTC